GTTACTATTGCAGCTAATTTTCCCTTTGAAATATTCTGAGGGGAGGGGATGTGCTGAATACCTTGATGTGTCAATACCTTGTAAACCGTCTGGCTTCTTCCTTAGCCTTGAATATGTTTGTTTTCTGTTTCAGATTTAATCTGTAATCCTATTTTAGCAACTTTCCCTCAACTCATGGATCAGCCAGACTTGATGGACGCACTTCGGGTACGTTATCTACATCACGTTCAACCCCAGCTGACATGTCAAGATATCCTCATAGTTTGCAAAATTTGAGCTTTTTTTATCCTGTGAAAAGGTAAAGAGCAAGGCCAAACATCAGCAAAGTTTTGTCTGTTTCAAGTCTGTGCAGATCTGTTGTGCCTTAGTGCCTTCAAAATTGCAAGAGAACGCTAGAGCACGTGCAGAAGGGATGGACAGACAGACAGGCTGGTGTGAGCACTGCTAGCCACAGCACGAGAGTGCTCGGCTGGATTAGCCATCTGAATCTTTGTCTTGCTTCTAGGACAGCACTGCTTTTGTGACAGGTAGGGGCTGATTTTAGCTTCTGACTGGCAGGAGGACAGTGCTCACCATATTTGCACCGCAGTCCCTCGCAGGTGTCCTAGTACCAGACAACAACAGCTGAGTTATTTCTGCCTGAAGGACACGACTGTCAGACTTTGTCAGGCTTTGGGGTTAGGCTGCATTTCTCCATGCTTGTAGAGTGGAAAAAAAATCAGATTCAGTTGTGATTGATTTTTTTTTTCTTCTGCAAAGTGGATCCCCCTTGATTTAATTTATATGGCTCTAATAATTGCAAGTCTTCAAATCCTTGCAACTGTAAAATTTGGTGGAATGGCTGTTTGCTTAAATCAACTAAACTGGCACAAGAGAGGAATGGGGAGTTGAGGAAAGTGGGACTGCAACAGGAGCTTAAACTATTGTGGAATTTCAGCAAGAGAAATGTCTGCAACTAAAAATGCAATTACAGAGTCATAGAATGGTTAGGGTTGGAAGGGACCTTGATTTAATTTATATGGCTCTAATAATTGCAAGTCTTCAAATCCTTGCAACTGTAAAATTTGGTGGAATGGCTGTTTGCTTAAATCAACTAAACTGGCACAAGAGAGGAATGGGGAGTTGAGGAAGGTGGGACTGCAACAGGAGCTTAAACTATTGTGGAATTGTCTGCAATGAAATGTCTGCAACTAAAAATGCAATTACGGAGTCATAGAATGGTTAGGGTTGGAAGGGACCTTTAAAGGCCATCTAGTCCAACCCCCCTGCAATGAGCAGGGACATCTTCAACTAGATCAGGTTGCTCAGAGCCCCATCCAACCTGATCTTGAATGTTTCCAGGGATGGGGCATCTACCACCTCCCTGGGCAGCCTGTTCTGGTGTTTCACCACACTCATTGTAAAACATTTCTTCCTTATATCTAGTTTAAATCTTCCCTGTTTTAGTTTAAACCCATTACACCTTGTCCTATTGCAACAGGACCTGCTAAGAAGTTTGTTCCCATCTTTCCTGTAGGCCTCCTTTAAGTACTGAAAGGCCACAATAAGGTCTCCCCGGAGCCTTCTCTTCTCCAGGCTGAAGAACCCCAGCTCTCTCAGCCTCTCCTCACAGCAGAGGTGCTCCACCCCTCTGAGCATCTTCATGGTCCTTCTCTGGACTCTCCAAAAGGTCCATGTCCTTCTTATGTTGGGGGCTCCAGAGCTGGACTCAGGACTCTGGGGGGGTCTCAGCAGAGTGGAGTAGAGGGGCAGAACCACCTCCCTCAACCTGCTGCTTGCACAGCTTTAGATGCAGCCCAAGATGTGACTGGCCTTCTAGGCTGCGAGTGCACATTGCTGGCTCATGTCCAGCTTTTTGTTGCTTTACATCTCCACAATCTCAGTTTGATTTTACATTTCATTTCATTTTAGAGCGCTTGGGCAGACAGAGAAAGAATGCTGAAGAGATCTGAAAAGGTAATAAAGTACAGGTATTTTCTTTAACGTATCTTCAATCTGATTTGAACTAGAAGCTTTCTGTCAGTGTTACTGGTAATTAACTTTTCTTCTCGCCATACATTTATTTAGAAAATGTAGATATGCTAAATGCAGTTTGTAACATTTCTTACCCATATTTATAACTGTAAACTAGGAGAAGAAGGAATATGAAATTAACTTGTAACTTTTTGTGTCAGTATTCAGAAGAAAGAATATGAAATTAACTTGTAACTTTTTGTGTCAGTATTTCTATGTGGTTGTTAGTGGGGAAGCTATTACTGGCTCATACCCAAAGTGTGGCTCCCTTTCATGATGTGCTTCAATACTTGACTGGTAAAAGCTTTCCACTGGTACAAAAGGGGCTGTGTATGTCCACAAAATAATCTTTCTTCCTCCAGCCTCTGAGCTCCAGTCCTCCCACAGTCTGCCTGGAAAAAGGGAGATTTGCAGAATTTGGGGGTCTATGTCAGATGGTTGTAATCTCCTGTTTCAGTGTGTAGATGGCTGGAGAAGAACCAAATTGGCCGTGTCACCAGGCTGACCTGTACCTTGTCCTGCCTCCTGTCCTCTGGACAAAAGGAAGCTGTAGGTAACTGAATGAGAAGGGCATTGGCTCTCGATCCAGGACACTTCAGTTGGGAGCAGCACAGGGTATCTCATTCATTGCGTTTGCTGCTGAGCAGATACATGAGATCTCCCCATTTATGCAAAGAAAACAAAATTCTGTTGAGTCAGAATCGCTCTCTCAAGGCCATTCATCCAAAATGAAAGCTGATCTGCTCAAAGAATTAGTAACTCCTCAGTATCCTAGAACCATCCAGTTTTACCTGATTTTTGTCGTGTGCCACTCCCATGGCAGGATTGCTTCCTGGTGAGTTCTTACTCCTCCTTTGCTCCTTCTCACTCCTCCTTGTGTGGTTATAAGATGCTTGGCTGCTGAATCTCCTGCTGAGACATTAACTGTTGGATGCCAGTCGTAGCGCTCGCGCCTCGGTAACGTTTCTGCAGGAGTCTTGGTGGTCAGTGAGTTTTCCAGGAGGAGTTTTCCAGGAGGAGTTTCCAGGAGGCAGTGCTCTCTGCGTTTCCTTTCACGAAGGGGGCTTTCTAGCGTGCACGTGGAAAATGAGGCACACAAATCTTGTCTAGTTAAAAGTGCTTGGGATCTTTCGGGGTTTGGTAATTCTACCAGGCTTCTTCTCGGTCCCTGGGGTTCGTAAAGCTGGACAGGGGAGGGTGTAATTCTCACCACACACAGAATGTCCTGTCCAGGTGTGAACAAGCAGCACTTGCAGCATGGCTTTACCTCCTGCTAAGAGCCACGTGCTGCCAGGAGTGTGGGATTGCTGCAACTCCATCTAGGGCAGCAGAGAAACAGGTGGGGTTTGGGTTTAAAGGCAGGGAGGATGTGGCACTGCCCCGGCAGCTGTGGCTGACACCTGTGGTACCCTTGGCTGCCTTGGACAGTTGTCACACGCTGGTGTTTTTAGCAAGAAATAGGAATAACCCGTGAGCAAAGGGCTGTCGGTGCCCGTTGCAGGGGTTGCTGGTTTGTGGCAGCACTGGCAGGGTTTGCCTGCACATCGCTGCTTTTCGTTTCGAAAAGTAGGGGGGTTGAAGACCAGATTTGTCGATCTATAATTTATATAGCATACTTCTTGGTGGTAAGTTTGAGGGTCATCTGAGCCAACTGGTGCTTGTTTCAGAAGGTCAGATCTCTTCCCATTGTTATCCTGGGAACTGGGGGTTATTGAAGATTTTCTTATTTCGTTTGTTTTGGTTTTTTTTCCATTTGTACAATACTTTTGTAGATGTGCTCGGCAACACCGTGTATTTACACTGAAGTATTTTCAAATACTCTTCTCTGCAGAGGGATCGAGAATTTATGAAGTCTCTGTTTATCCTGGTGTACCACGACTCTGTCCTCCCTCTCCTCCAGTCCACCCTCCTCCCCAGCTACAGGTGGGCTGAGGAAGAGTCCGAGGCATCTCGCTGGAAGGCGATTGCTGACTTCCTGAAGCAGAGCCGAGAGAACGACGGGGCACTTCGGTATCTGCTGTCATCAGAGAACACTCACAAACCCTTTGACATCTCCGAGCTGGCTTATGACTTCTTGGGAGAAGCGAGGGAAAACAATCCTGGAGTATGAATGGATTAATGAAGAACAATTCATGCCATGTAAGAACGGAGTAACAATATAAAGAATTTCTTACAAAAAGGAACTGTGTGCTATCTGAATTCTAATGAATGTTAACGCATTTAACATTCTGAGAGACTAAAATTATTTGATCAGTTTAACTAATGGAAATTAAATTTTAAATTTTGCCCTTTGCAACGTTAGACAGGGCCATGGTTGCCTGTTGCTCCCTGTACCTCTTGTAGCCACACTGAGTGTCATATTTTGCCTGAGCTGATCAAATGCTGAGGCAGCACTCTTCTCCTCTCATGCCACTTCCAATTAATTTCCAGTTTTGTTTTAATCAGGGTGAATAAAAGACTCTTTGTCACAGCACCCCAGGAGATGGGTAACAGGCAAGGAAAATAGCAATGATCTTTAAGAATGTTGCTGAGCCAGGTCGGACAGGTTAGGGAAAAAGAATTGTCTCTTGTCCAATCAGCAGACAGCAGGTCCTTCTGTATTTAGACTGTTTTACTGTTTTTCTTTCCCACTCAGGAAAAGGTTGGGTTATTCAAAGGAATGTGCTTGACCCTCCTAATACAAACAAAAGCTGGTGAGGATGGAGGGCAGGCCGTGTTTCCCCTCTACGTGGCCATGCCATGGGGCAGCTCCCCCCGTGCTGGCTCTCTGGGGGAGCCGGGGGGACATCCCTGAGGTGGACCAGGACACTAAAGGCTGCTGTTCCATGAGCAGTTTGTACCCAGAGGCCAGAAGTGCTGCTGCTGCCAGGGGGGAGTTACCGATGGGGCTTCTGTTTGGCACTGGAGTCTCCAGGTGCTTTCTGTGCCAGGAGGGTTTGTTGCCATCGTGTCCCGTGAGGTGGGTGGGTACCGAGTTGTGCACAGATTTGAGTCTGAGCCAGGCACTGGTTTTGTCTGGTGTGAAATGTTTTAAAACAAGATCTTTCAAAGACCACAGCTCCCTGCACAGAGCCTGAAGCCAGCTCCCGCCAGCAGTGGCTGTAAAGCTGGAGCCTCCAGAAATGCCACAAAGCACTTCCCCGGCCTAGGAGCGGCTCAGAAGATGAGAAACATTATGGATTTGATCTTTGTTCTGTTATTGCACAACAGCTTGGCATAAAAGCCACATTCCTAGGGCATCACTTGGCTCTCCTAACAGAAATATATCTTACCAGGATATTGTCCTCCTCCTGCTGCAGAGTATTGCCTGAGACACTGAATGACTTTAAGCCATGAGGCAGAGATGCCACCTTTAGCCTTTCATCCCACCAGTTATCCATGACTTATGGGGTGAAGTGGAGTCCTCTGGAAAAAACAACATGTGCTTGTTGAATTGAAAGCGCATTTTCCAGGAGGCAGAAGTTAAAGCTGTCCCGGTAGCTGTCCTTCAGACCTTTCTGGGTGTTTAGGGGGACACACAGGCAAGTCCTCCCATCTCTTACCAGTGTGTTGAGTTGTCTGTAGAAAACGTTTGGCTGCAAGTTTTCGAAGGCTGGGTGTGCCTGTGGGGGGGTGTAGGGGGGTGTCTGACGTGAACACAGAGCAGAAACCTGAACAGAAAAGGGGAGGAGGCAACAGCAGTGGAAGTGAAAATATTTCAGGCTTGAAAGAGTGCCAAGGACAAAAACCCATTGCGGGAAACATTTCCGCCCCGGCGTGGGGTAGGATTTTTTTTCTTTCCCCTCTCGTTAAAGCCCTCGAGTGGATTGTGTGCCGGCGGCAGGGCTGGGGTCCTGCTGCTGTCCCATCCCAGCGCTGGCAGCAGGGTGTGTGGAGCCAGCCCCGGTGACTGGAGGGCTCCTTCCGCGGCGCGGTGCCAGCCTGGGCTGGTTTCTGCGATGACCTCCCTGTGGGTGTGTCGGTTAAAACCCCGCGCCGGCGGTGTGAGCCGCAGCAGTCACGGCACCAGCTGAGGAGAGATGGCCTCGGCCTGTAACCCCCCGGCCCCCACGCAGCCTGCCCTGCCCTCCGGACCCGCCGTCTTCAAAACCATCCCCTACGCCTTCATCCTGCCGGAGATAGTGAGTACGCCGAGAGTCGTTGCGTTACAGCACCCCACTAACATTCCTAATCAAGCTAAAAAATTGGGGAGCAGCCCCTGGAACAATCCTCAGGACAGCGTTAATGGGAAATAACATCTTTTATTTTAGCTTATACTGAACGTGCAAAGGGGGGGGCTTCGTGATGTAATTTTTTTTTTGGAACAGCTTGAGGACAAGACACGCTCCAACTCCATCCCAGAGCCCGCCTGGGTGTTGCCGGCTGCTGCAGGGCTGGGAGAGGCTGAGGAGCTGCTGGTGCCTCTGGGGCAGGAGCAGCTCCAGTCATTGCGTAGAAATTGCTTGAAAATCACGATAATTTTGCTCACTGTGTTAAGTCTGTCTGAGGGCTTGGAGGAATCGTGTGTCTTGTACCATGTGACGTTCCGTGGATCTTTCGATTGTTTCTGGGTCCAGAGGGCACCTGGTGGGACTGGCTGAGATAACCACGGGTGTACTTTGAGACATGACACAGCGACCCACGCACAGTCACTGGGGCTGGGCTCTGCCATGTGCTGCCTGCGCCAGTGGGCTCCCATCCCCACCGCCAGCTGGGAGGAGTGTCACCCACCAGAGCTGGAGTGGCACAGGGCGGCGTGAGTTCATTCAGATAACCCCACCACGAACATCTGAGGTGGACCCAGAGCAGGCGTCTCACTCTGTGGAGTCAGGAGGAGACTTTCTTGTGCCATGACTCCTTGTGCCCAGGTTAACGAGCGGGCAGGGCTGGGCTGACACAGCCGTTCACCTTCCCCAGATAAAAGCACATTTTCTGGCTTCTCTGCCAAAGCCTTCGGGGCGAGATGTTTCCTTGTGTCGAACACGGCAGCACGGTGCCCTTTCGTAAGAAATGGTTTGAAGTATTTCTCAAGAGTCTTCAGGGAAACTCGTGCCAGCTTGCGGTGCCGCTGTTGTGCTGGGATGCTCCGGGAGGCTGGTCTACACTGACTGAAGATGCAAGGCTTCCCACGGCCACCCGGGCCACCCCAGGAGGGAGGAGAGAAGAGACTCGGGGAGGAGAAGGGGCTTTTCCCATCCCCTGCTCATTGGAGGCACCTGTGTTTGTCCCTGGCAGCTCTGTGGGACCTGGGTGTGGATCCTCGTCGCTGCTACCACCGTCGCCTTCCCACTGCTGCAGGGATGGGTGATGTACGTGTCCCTCAGCTCCTGCCTCATCTCCCTGCTGCTCCTCATAAGCTACCTCTTGGGCTTCCACAAAAACAGCGAGAACTGGAAAGTGATGGTAAGGAGGGGCTGGGGCAGTGGCAGGTGGTGGTGGTAGCGCGGGCACAAGATGACCAGAGCTGGTGACGGGTCCAACCAGCTGCCAGCCTTTCTCCAAACAACCACCCCTTGCCTCCTCTTGCCTCGTTGGGCAACGCCAGGGGAAGCTGTGTGGGAACAGGGAGGGTTTGGTGTGGTACAAGGTCTGGTCCCAGCCCCTGGCTGGGTGGGTGTGGGTGTGTGTGTCCTGTTCCAGTGCTCACAGGTACAGATGGTGGACCTTGTCCTCAGGGCAAGTCGGAGAACAGTCCTGGGCAGGCGCTGATTCTCGCTGCTCCCTTGTCCCGCAGGACAGTTTGTACCACGGTGCCACGGCCATTCTGTACATGAGCGCTGCTGTCCTGCAAGCCAACGCGACCATCAGATCTGAAACCGGCCCACACTCACCCCTTTACTACCAGCTCAACAGCGCGGCCTCGGTGAGTCTCTCCAGGAAACCCAGCAGGCCAGAGCACCCCCAGTTCCCCCTGGGAATGCAATATTGAAGCCACAGCAGAGCTATCCCAAGCCCAGGAGCTGGTCAGAACTTCAGCTCCTCATCTCTGTTGTGCTGTGCAGCCAGCATGGCCTCCTTGGGCTCCAGCAGCTCATGGACAGCCTTGTATGGCTGCCTCCCGGGCAACACGGGGGGCTCTGCCTGTTCTTTGAGGCTGGAGAGAGGTCTAGGCTGGGGGGTCTCCCCCGGTCAAGAGCACCGAGAGGAGATGGGGTTAGACTCTCCCAGCTGATCCCAGCTTTTGCTCTTTTTCCTCTCATGCAGTTCTTTGCCTTCATCACAACCTTCCTGTACATCCTCCACGCTTTCAGCATCTACTACCAGTGAGCCTGGCGGCGCCGGATTCGCCACTGCGGAAAGAGAGCTTTCCCAGGGAGAGGGATGCAGCCATCTTCCACCAGAGTGTCCTGGCCTGGGCCTGGCACCGACCCTGGGGGGAGGGCAGTTGCTTTTTCATTAAAGGAGGGATTTTTGTACAGCGTTGTTGGGTTATGTGCTTGTTGGGGTCATTTTGCACCCGGCCGGTGGGCGACACAAGGGGAGGGATGGGGTGCAGGCTCCCAGCCAGCCTCCCACTCTGATGTTCCACTAAATAATAATGACCAAGGGAAGAGAAGAAAAAATAATAATAATAATAAAAAAAATAATCACTGTTTCTTCAGCAGTTTCCTTCCTTTTATTATTTTCATATGTCCGGTTCAGCTAGATCACTCCCCAATACATTAATTCATAACAGTACAATACTGTGTTCCTTGACTTTCTGATAATTTGGTATATGCAGTACTTAAAATAAAGCATCTACAACAGTGTCTGACCAAATAGATTTCGACCACCATATAAGCTCTGTTCATTGAACAAGCTAATTTTACTCCGTAAGAGTTAAAAATTTCCTTTCGAAAACTCAGAAAGTGTTCACAGACTTGGAAAGCTGCAACAGACTTCTTAAACAAGAAAATCATAGAACTTCTAACAAACTTCTAGATATAGTATAAAACAGCTTGAAAAGACTTATTACTACAGTTATTTACAGTAGTTCTCCAGTGTCTGCAAATTGTCATTACAAAATCTGCAGCCAGGGAGGGTTAGTCACTGGCAGCACCCTCACCTGGCACTGGCTTTACAGGAGTTCCTTCCTCTCTCCATCCTCAGCAACTGGTGGAGGGAGCTCCCTCCTCTCTCTGCACCAGATAATCCTCCACGTCTGGGATGGCGTAGGCTCGCAGGACATCCACGTAGAGAAGGTAGTCCTGGAGACAGGCTGGCAGTGGCAATTCCCGGATACATCGGTCCGACCGCAGGCGTTCGCTCTTTAAAATGGATCGGATCTCAAGGCGACAAAGATGTGACAGGGAAGGGATGGAGGCTGAAAATGTAAAAAAACAGTGAACAGGACACCACGGGATGACACCACTTGCCCACAGTTACTTGGTTTGGCTGGGTCCCATCTGAACCCCCCAGTGTCTGGCAGATAACGAAGCAGAGTTCTCAACAGCCAAGGGCTGTTGCCTGCTAGAATCAGCATTTTTGGGATATCCCTCTAGGGGCTAGAAGTTACCTTAAACTTCTAGAAACAAAGTACCAAAGAATCATTTCATCCTTAATCAGAAAGTTTCTTCTAAGGAGCCTAGAAGAGCTCCCTGCTTGGGGAGAGAGAGGCCCATGTCATCACACAATACATGAAAAGTCAGGTCTACAAGTAAATCAAGCAACAAAATAACACAAGGGAAAACACTTAGAGGGTAAGTATGAAATGACAGCATGACTCTGTGGCACGTGATGCCAAATGTTCTTACACGTTCCTACATGACTTGACTTAGGACAAGCCAAAAGTTTCACAAACCTGTCGGTAAGCGTGCATTCACTCAGACACAAACTTTCACATTATAGATCAGCTTATCCTGACACAGAACTCTAATCCCTCCAAACTCTCCTGGAGTGGCTTCTCCATTCACTTCATTCACAAGGAATCTGTAGCATTAACCGCGCCGTATCTCAGTTCGTAAGGGTAAGCGTGGCAGGTGTAGGACTTCATGGGGCCACACATTTTGCCAGGCTCCAGCTGGAGGTGTGAACACCCACCCTTGAACTTTTCTGCATGAACCATTCATTTTTATTTCCCTGTGCTCACTGACATGGCCAGCTATAAATGAGTCACTACAGAGACTCCTGAGTGCGATCTTTTCAGTAAGATAATGCATGACCTGGATGGTAAAGCTGCTTTTCTAAAGGGTGAATGCCGTGAGCACTGGTGTTTTACTGGACAATCAATTATTGAATCCTTTTGGCTGACCAAATTTTGATCACAGGAGCAACAATGAACAGCTAGATTCGTAGGTATTTGGTGTGATGTTCTATATGGTTTGGTCGGTAAGCGTGCATTCACTCAAACACAAACTTTCACATTATAGATCAGCTTATCCTGATACAGAACTCTAATCCCTCCAAACTCTCCTGGAGTGGCTTCTCCATTCACTTCATTCACAAGGAATCTGTAGCATTAACCGCGCCGTATCTCAGTACGTAAGGGTAAGCGTGGCAGGTGTAGGACTTCATGGGGCCACACATTTTGCCAGGCTCCAGCTGGAGGTGTGAACACCCACCCTTGAACTTTTCTGCATGAACCATTCATTTTTATTTCCCTGTGCTCACTGACATGGCCAGCTATAAATGAGTCACTACAGAGACTCCTGAGTGCGATCTTTTCAGTAAGATAATGCATGACCTGGATGGTAAAGCTGCTTTTCTAAAGGGTGAATGCCGTGAGCACTGGTGTTTTACTGGACAATCAATTATTGAATCTTTTTGGCTGACCAAATTTTGATCACAGGAGCAACAATGAACAGCTAGATTCGTAGGTATTTGGTGTGATGTTCTATATGGTTTGTATTTTAATTACTCTCAAGCGCTTAATGTTTGCTTATTTGCTTAAGGAACAGGATAGACACTTCATTGGAAATAAAAATCAAATTAAAAATAATAAAAATCAGTGGGATATCATCTAGAAAACACAACCAAGTAATATTGATCATCTTCCCTTAAATCTTACAAGAAGCTGGACAAATCATTTCAGGAAGGTACAGAATTAATTTACATTCAGTACCCATACTTTATAGCACACGCATTAACTTGAAGTGGAGAAGAGAGACTGAGAACACCTACTCGAAACCTGCTAACTCTGAACTGAACGAGGTAATGAGTAAAATTAATTGAAATATTTTTGGCTTGCTTGTTTGATTGTCCAGGGTAACTGCTATTTCTGCTCCCCGTTTTGTGGACAAGCACTCTCCATTGAACCTTCTTTGCCAAACACAAAGCTGTTTCCCGTTCCCAGCCTGGAAGCTGGCAGATGGAGACTGTTTTTCCCCAACTGCACTGCTTACCAAAATGACTCCTGGGAGTCCAAGCAAACTTCTCTTTGCAGTCTGAAACGTCCTGCTCCACAGCTGGAGGAAGCCTCTTCCAGTTGGTGAACTCCAGGGTGAAATTAAAGGCATCGTCGCTCACAGAGAAAATCCTGCGTAATGAAAACTCCCATAAAATATTTTACACAATAGCATAAATACAGTAATGAAAACAGCACATGGAAAGCTATTTTCTAACAAATTCTTAATGTGCATCCTAAACCCAGAAACAGAAAGCCAGTAAAGAGAAATCCAAAGTAATTTTAAAAGCATGAGCTTTTACTAATGGAATTTTTCATGAGTGAAATTTCTTCTTAAAATTTTCCTAAATTCTTACAAGTAAGTTAAAATTCTTAAAAGTAAGTTAGACTGTAAGAGAAAAGTAGAAAAGTACCTTCTCTGAAATTTAAATGCCTCAGTAATAGGCACCATTCTCCCTGCACTAATTTCTTACTCCATTTCCACCTAAACTTTAATAAAGGCAGCAGAGCGTTATAAGCATTACCATCAGTTTGGGGGAAAAATGTACATACATTCAGCTACTTAAACAAAAAAAACCAAACTCACAACAAAACCAACGAAAACAAACCCAAGAAAAGTCCCCTCAAATTTCACAAGTGTTCCAGGCTCTCCTCCTACCAGAGATCACAGTTATATGTATTCAGAAATCAATATGACTCGCATTTCAAATCTTTAGCATGTGTAAAGAACATTTTGTGATAGCTCAACTGAACGGAGGGTGGAAGGAGCTTCTTGGCTAGAGGTACACACCCCGGAATTTTCATGAGTGGAAATCTAAATGCTCTAAACACACAAAAATACTAGACTAAAATTTTTTAATACCGCTTGCTTTTTACAATAATTTAATTTAAAAATTATTTTATGTCCTTTCTATTTTTTATCATTTCATTTTTCATTTTTGACCGAACTTTCATACATTCACCAAAAACCATACAGGAGAGAGATCTCATTTCCTACCTTTCTTTAAAAGAATGGTGATTTTACTTTTTCCACTGGTAATTAAAATTGTCACTGCTCTAGACTGACGGGTTTATGACTGATTATACAGTTGGTTTTGCACAAGGAGCCAGGGACAGTTAATGAACCCTATGCTTAAGTGTCATTTGCTGTCTGCTATCCTCCTGTTACCCTCCAGAATGGAATAGGCAATATTGAAGTTAAACTTCGAAAAACATTAGTTTTTATAGATTATGATGTGATACGCTTTATTTTACAAAGTGGATAGTTAAACAAAGGAAGTAATTGGTCTAAAAGTATCTGTGGATTATGTAACAAAGTATCAAAAAGCATCACATAGGATGTACAGGGACTGGGAGATTTGTTTACTCACTGAATTGCAATCTTTGGTGTGTTTACTTTTGCACTCCCTGAGTCTTCTATGAATAAATACGCTCTACGGAGGCACGGATATACCATGTGTTATACACGCTCCTCTCGTTACTCTTCAGAAAGCCTCGGACACTAATGATTAACAGAATCTCACCAAGTCATAAATGAATGCATTTAAAACTACCGAAGAAACCTTAACTGTGGTATCTTAACTGTATCTGAAATACAAATCAATATTTAAGTAAAACTTAAAATCCTACTCCTTTCGTAAAGTAGCGCATGTAGCGAGTTTATACATCTCACATTTTACAGCTGAGACACGTGGTAGTAAAGTCTAGGTGTCATCCTAACAGACAAGAAAAAAACCCAAAGAAAATACGAATACTTCATAATTTAAAATATAAGTTTAATTCTGTATGTCTAATTAAATACAAAATATAACCAAGCAGTTATTTCTATGTGGAAGAATTAAAAAAAAAAAAAAGAGACTGAAATTTTGGCCACATTATTTTGTTTAACACGATCTCTAATTGCATCCATTTCCTCTCCTTCTAACCTTGGCCCAGCTTCATCTTATGTTTGTTTCCCATCCATCCTGACCTCTTTCTTGGTATTTGAAATTCTTCTTACCATTACCATATTATACATACACATGCAATTTGCAACTAAATTTGGGGACTAATAAGAGATGTTTGACATAAAAATTGGGAAATGATGGTAGTGATAAAACAATCTCCATTGGGGCTTTCTTCCTAAAAGAAATTTGTTTTACTAAATCCAGCCATTACCTGGGAATGATTTATTTCAGACTTTCCCTAAATCTCACCGTTCCTGATCGCGGTAACTGATTATCAAGTGCTATCCTCCGAAAGCACGCCTTCAACAGCATTGGCAACAGCTTCACAGAGTAGCA